GTCCAAACCCCAGCCCCTGGGACCCCCATGGGTCCAAACCCCAGCACCTGGGACCCCCCATGGGTCCAAACCCCAGCCCCTGGGTGCCCCCCCAGCCCCTGGGACCTCCATGGGTCCAAGCCCCAGCCCCTGGGACCCCCCGTGGGTCCAAACCCCAGCCCCTGGGTGCCCCCACAGCCCCTGGGACCTCCATGGGTCCAAACCCCAGCCCCTGGGACCCCCATGGGTCCAAGCCCCAGCCCCTGGACCCCCATGGGTCCAAGCCCCAGCACCTGGGACCCCCCATGGGTCCAAACCCCAGCCCCTGGGTGCCCCCCCAGCACCTGGGACCCCCCATGGGTCCAAACCCCAGCCCCTGGGTGCCCCCCCAGCCCCTGGGACCTCCATGGGTCCAAACCCCAGCCCCTGGGTGCCCCCCCCGGGCCCTGGGACCCCCTCACCAGCCCCTGGATCCCCTCACCAGCTCCTGGACCCCCCCCCCCCCCCAGTCCTTGGGTCCCTTCAGCCCCTGCATCCCCCCAACCCCTGCCCCCCCCAGGGCCCTGTGTGTCCCCCAAGCCCCTGCATCCCCCCCCCCCCCCCGACCCTGGGTCCTCTCCGAGCCCCAGGGTCCCCCCAACTCCTGGATCGCCCCCAAGTCCCTGCCCCCCTCAGCCCATCTCTGCTCTCCCCTCGGTGCCTGCAGCCACATCCAGGCCCCCCCCGGGGCCATGGAGACCCGGAGTCCTGCTCCTCAGAGTGGGTGAGTGGGCAGGGAAGGGCAGGCAGGGAAGGGCAGGCAGGGCAGGGGCAGGCAGGGCAGGGGCAGGCAGGGCAGGGGCAGGCAGGGCAGGGGCAGGCAGGGCAAGGCAGGGCAGGGGCAGGCAGGGCAGGGGCAGGCAGGGCAAGGCAGGGCAAGGGCAGGGGCAGGCAGGGCAGGGGCAGGCAGGGCAGGGGCAGGCAGGGCCCCCCCCCCGCACCCCTGGCACCCCTGCCCCCCTCCTCCCCGCAGCCCCCCTGCACAGCACCTACCACGAGGATGGGCCCCCCTCGTACTATGACAACCAGGACTTCCCCTCGGCGCACTGGGACGACAAGAGCGTGCGCCAGGCCTTCATCCGCAAGGTAAGAGCTGCCCCGTCCCTGGGGGCCGCCGGGGGGGCCGGTGCCACGCTGTCACCCTGTGTCCCCCCCCCCCAAGGTGTTCCTGGTGCTCACGGTGCAGCTGAGCGTCACCTTCGCCTTCGTGGCCGCCTTCACCTTCTTCAAAGGGGTGAAGGGCTTCGTGCAGCGCAACGTGTGGACCTACTACGTGTCCTACGCCGTGTTCTTCATCTCGCTCATCGTGCTGAGCTGCTGCGGGGACTTCCGCCGCAAGCACCCCTGGAACCTGGTGGCCCTGGTGGGTGCAGGGGACGTGGGTGCGCCCGTGGCCGTGACGTGGGGCCCCCGTGCCCGCCTGCGCAGTCCCTCCTGACCCTCAGCCTGTCCTACCCGGTGGGGCAGGTCTGGGGTACGGCTGGGCCAGTGTGGGGCACGGGGTGGTTTTGGGGTGCCCTGTCCATGACAGTGTTCCTCTGTCCCCCCCCAGTCCATCCTGACCCTCAACCTGTCCTACCCGGTGGGGCAGGTCTGGGGTACGGCTGGGCCAGAGTGGGGCACAGGGGGTGGTTTTGGGGTGCCCTGTCCATGACAGTGTCCCTCTGTGCACCCCCAATCCATCCTGACCCTCAGCCTGTCCTACATGGTAGGGTGGGGTTTGGGGTGCAATGGGGCAGGTTTGGGGCACAGGGGATGGCTTTGGGGTGCCCTGTCCATGACAGTGTCCCTCTGTCCCCCCCAGTCCATCCTGACCCTCAGCCTGTCCTACATGGTGGGGTGGGGGTTGGGGTGCAATGGGGCAGGTTTGGGGCACAGGGGATGGCTTTGGGGTGCCCTGCCCATGACAGTGTCCCTCTGTCCCCCCCCAGTCCATCCTGACCCTCAGCCTGTCCTACATGGTGGGCATGATCGCCAGCTTCTACAACACGGATGCTGTCATCATGGCCGTGGGCATCACCGTCGTCGTCTGCTTCACCGTCGTCATCTTCTCCCTGCAGGTTTGCTGGGGGTCACCCCCCAACCCCTGGGGGGGGATCTGCAGTGGGGGTAGGACCCCCCAGTGTTACCCCAGCTTCCTGCTGGGAGCTCTGAACTGGGTGTACAACCCCCCCAGTCCCTGGTGGGGCTCTGAATGGGGTGTACGACCCCCCCCCAGCTTCCTGCTGGGGCTGGGGGCTCCAAAGTGGGTGCAGGACCCCCCAGTCTCCCCCCAGGCAGATCCCTGCTGGGGCTGGGGCCTCCAAACTGGACAAAGATCCCCCCCAGTTCCCTGCTGGGGGGTTCCAACCTGGGTATAGGACTCCCCTTGTCCCTGCTGGGGGCTCTGAATGGGACATAGGACCCCCACTTGCTCCCTAATGGCTCAGGGTGCTCTGAACTGGGTGTAGGACCCCCGCTTGTCACTGCTGGGGGGTTCCAAGCTGGGTGTACAACCCCCCCTCATCATCCCTCCCGGTGCCTGCTGGGGCTGGGGGGCTCCAAACTGGGCCTCGCCCCCCATCTCTCTGTGTGTCCCCCCCCAGACCAAGTACGACTTCACCTCGTGCCGGGGTGTCCTCATCATCTGCCTGGTGGTGCTGATCCTCTTCTCCATCCTCCTCATCTTCATCCGGAACCGCATCATGGACATCATCTACGCCTCGCTGGGCGCCCTGCTCTTCACCTGCGTGAGTCTGCCCGCCCCCTGTGCCCCCCTGCGCCCCACATCCCATGGGGCAGAGCCCAACCCCAGCCCCGGCAGGGCTCAGCCTGCCCCTGGGTGGGCGCCGCTGTGCGCGGGGCCGCGCGGTGGCTCCGTGCCGGGGGGCTGTGCCCCTCACGCCGTGCCCGCGCCGCAGTTCCTGGCCGTGGACACGCAGCTCATCCTGGGGAACAAGCAGCTGGCGCTCAGCCCCGAGGAGTACGTGTTCGCCGCGCTCAACCTCTACACAGACATCATCAACATCTTCCTCTACATCCTCGCCATCATCGGCAGGGCCAAGGAGTAACGTGACCCCCCCCCCCCATCACCCCTCCTGGTCACCCCCCCCCATCACCGGTGTCACTCAGTGTCCCCAGTGAGCCCCTGTGTCCCTCAAAGCGTTTCTTTCCCCCCACAGCGGCAGGGGGGAACACGGGGGGGTCCCCCCCCGACACCCCCCCCCCCCCCCCCCCCTGTGAATCAGCCTCCCCCCCCCCCCCTTATTGCGTTCAACGTGGACTGGAAGCACTTTGCCCCCCCCCCCCCCCCCCCAGCAATGGAGCTCGGCCCCCTCCGTCCTGCCCCCATTGTCTGCCCCCTGCCCGTCCCTGCCTGTCCCTGCCCATCCCCTGCCTGTCCCTGCCCTCACCTCCCCTCACCGCGCAGGCAGGGCAGTGCTGGCAGCCCCCAGGCTGACGGCAGGGCTGAGGCACCCTGAGAGCGTCCCTGCAGGGGCTCAGCTCTGTCCCTGCCCGCCCGGGGGGGCCCAGCCCGTGCCCCCCGTTCGGCTCCTGCTGTCGATAATAAACCCCCGTTAGTTCACCTCTGCCACCTCTGGTTCTGCTTCTCCCGGCCCGGCCGAACCGGGGCTGCGGCTGCCGGCAGGGCCCCCCCTGCCCCCGGCACCCCCCAGTGCCAGGGCAGCCCCCTCTGCTCTCTCCCACCTGCACCGGCACCGCGCGGGCTCAGTTATGGTCACACCGACACCGAGACCGAGACCGGGTTCGGCCACGGCCGGGGCTTTATTCAAGAGCAGGCCCCGCACCGGGCACCATCGCAGGCCCCGGCCTTGCCACACCAGGTCTGTGCAGGCCCTGGCACCGCCGGCGGCACACGTGGGTCCTGCCGCGCCCGTAGCTCGAAGCTCCTGGCGATGACCTGCACCATGTTGGTGGCACCGGCGGCACACGGCTGCTGACAGCAGCTCCGTGGCACCAGCACCTCCTGCTCCTGCTGCATCCAGCCCATGTCCTGCGGGGGGGTCTTCAGGGCCAGGGCACAGCCGCAGCCGCAGCCGCAGCCCGGCCCCGGCTCTGCTTCTCCATCGTGGCACTGCAGCGACACGGCGAGACCCTGCGGGGGGAGAGGTGCAGTGGTGGTGGAGCCATGACGGTGCTCCGTGCCATATGGCAATGCTCTGTGCCACATGGCAAGGCTCCATTATGGCACTGTGCCACATCGCAATGCTCCGTGCCACATGGCAAAGCTCCATGCCACATGGCAATGCTCCATTATGGCACTGTGCCCTATCGCAATGCTCCGTGCCACATGGCAAGGCTCCATGCTGTATGGCAATGCTCTGTGCCCCATGGCAAAGCTCCATGCTACATGGCAATGCTCTGTGCCCCATGGCAAGGCTCCATGCCACATGGCAATGCTCCATTATGGCACTGTGCCCTATCGCAATGCTCCGTGCCACATGGCAAGGCTCCATGCTGTATGGCAATGCTCTGTGCCCCATGGCAAAGCTCCATGCTACATGGCAATGCTCTGTGCCCCATGGCAAGGCTCCATGCCGTATGGCAATGCTCTGTGCCCCATGGCAAGGCTCCATGCCACACGGCAACGCTCTGTGCCCCATGGCAAGGCTCCATGCTACATGGCAATGCTCTGTGCCCCATGGCAAGGCTCCATGCCACACGGCAATGCTCCATTATGGCACTGTGCCCTATCGCAATGTTCCGTGCCACATGGCAAGGCTCCATGCTGTATGGCAATGCTCTGTGCCCCATGGCAAGGCTCCATGCCGTATGGCAACGCTCTGTGCCCCATGGCAAGGCTCCGTGCCACATGGCAATGCTCTGTGCCCCATGGCAAGGCTCCCTGCCAGCCCAGCACACCAACCCTTACCTCCTGGCCGCGGGGCTGCCGGCTGAGCTCTGGTTCCCACTGGGGCTCGCTGGCTGCTCTGGCCGCAGCCCGGGTGCCACGCCAGCCCTGCTGCAGCTCGCGGCTGACGATGGTGCCGGCGCCAGGCGCCGGGTGCGCGTCCCGGGTGCCGCTGCGGTGCTTGTGGCGGTGCCGTGTGCTGGAGGTTTCGCTGCGGGTTGGTGCCGTGGGGCCGGGGTTTGGCCCACGCTGGTGCCCGATGCCCGGCACCGGCTCCACGCGGGCGCAGCAGCCATGGGCCACGCGCCAGGCAGGGTCACAGCAGGGGTGGCCGCGGTGCTGGGCCTGGCACCAGCGCTGCCCGGGGCAGCCGGGAGCCTCCAGTGCCACCCGTGCCGGCTCCCGAAAGCTCTCCATGGCGCGCTGGAAGCCCTGCTTGTGCCCCCGGGACGGGGAGGCGGTGATGCTGGCACAGCCCCGCTCCCCGGGGCTGCCTTCATCCCGCTCCGGCCGCGGCGCCGGCAGCCGCCGGCTCAGCAGCTCCTCCAGCAGCTCGGCAGCCAGGCCCGTGGCGAGGAAGGAGCGGCGGTCGATGGCGGTGCTGGCGCTGGCGCTGAGCCGGCACAACGGCAGCGTGGTGCTGAGGGCCTCCTCCTCCTCCTCCTCCTCGCCGGGGCACGGCGGTGCCGGGGTCGGGTCGGCGCTGCCGAGGCTCTCCGTGGAGCGTGCGGGCGCGCTGGGCCACGCGTGGGGATGCGGGGCCGGGGAAGCGGGGCCGGCGCAGCCGTCGCGGGGGGGGTCCCGGCAGCCGGGAGGGCTGAGCCAGGCTCCCCATAGGGGTGCCGGGGGTGGCAGCGCCGCGGTGCCCCAGCCCGTGCCGCAGCACGGCCCCAGCTGAGCTCCTGCGGGCCCAGAGCGAGGGGGATGGAGGCAGGGAGCCCGCATGGGGCACCCCGGCAGCAGCCACCCCTCCTCGTGCCGGTGGAGCGGGTGCTTCCCGGAGCAGAGCGCCATGGCAGTGCCGGGCGGCCGCGGCCGCGCTGGGCGTTGGGGCCGATGTCCCTTTGTGACGTCCCCGTGGAACCAGGGCCCCGGCTCCCCCCAGGTTCCACGGGGCTGCCGCTGGCACCACCGGGCAGCCCCATGGAGCCGGTGCCGCGCGCGGGGCTCGCGGTCCTGGCCTGCTATGACCGCCTGCGCCGAGAGATCCAGGCGCTGCTGGCGGAGAACGAGGAGCTGGCGCGGGCTGTGGGGCGGCTGCAGGACCAGCGGCAGCTCCGGCAATGCCAGCGGGCTGTGCCCGGCTCCGCGCCGCCGCTCGGGACCCACAGCGGCTACTTCCCCTTCCCTGGCACAGGTGGGTGGCCGTGCGGGCACGGGAAACACCTCGGCAGTGGCAGTGCCAGAGGGGTTGCGGTGGTGGTGGCAGAGGGTTGCGGTGATGGTGGCAGAGGGGTTGTGGTGGTGGTGGCAGAGGGGTTATGGTGGTGGTGGCAGAGGGGTTATGGTGGTGGTGGCAGAGGGTTGCGGTGGTGGTGGCAGAATGTTGCGGTGGTGGTGGCAGAGGGGTTGCGGTGGTGGTGGCAGAGGGTTGCGGTGGTGGTGGCAGTGGGGTTATGGTGGTGGTGGCAGAGGGGTTGCGCTGGTGGTGGCAGAGGGTTGCGGTGGTGGTGGCAGTGGGGTTATGGTGGTGGTGGCAGAGGGGTTGCGCTGGTGGTGGCAGAGGGTTGTGGTGGTGGTGGCAGAGGGGTTGTGGTGGTGGTGGCAGAGGGGTTGCAGTGGTGGTGGCAGAGGGGTTGCGGTGGTGGTGGCAGAGGGGTTGCGGTGGTGGTGGCAGAGGGGTTGCGGTGGTGGTGGCAGAGGGGTTATAGTGGTGGTGGCAGAGGGTTGCACTGGTGGTGGTGGCAGAGGGGTTATAGTGGTGGTGGCAGAGGGTTGCGGTGGTGGTGGTGGCAGAGGGTTGTGGTGGTGGTGGCAGAGGGGTTATAGTGGTGGTGGCAGAGGGGTTGCGGTGGTGGTGGCAGAGGGGTTGTGGTGGTGGTGGCAGAGGGTTGTGGTGGTGGTGGTGGCAGAGGGGTTATAGTGGTGGTGGCAGAGGGGTTGTGGTGGTGGTGGCAGAGGGGTTATAGTGGTGGTGGCAGAGGGTTGCACTGGTGGTGGTGGCAGAGGGGTTATAGTGGTGGTGGCAGAGGGTTGCACTGGTGGTGGTGGCAGAGGGGTTATAGTGGTGGTGGCAGAGGGTTGCGGTGGTGGTGGTGGCAGAGGGTTGTGGTGGTGGTGGCAGAGGGTTGTGGTGGTGGTGGCACATGCACTGACCACAGCACTGCAGCGAGCGGCGCGCCAGAGCTGGCACCGCTGCAGCAGAGCTCCCCGTGGGACATCACGCAGCAGTCGCAGGATGGACCCTGGGCTCCGCTGCCCCTGGGCTCGACAGTCACCGACAGCAGCGCCGGCATCAGCGGCAGCGCCGGCATCAGCAGCGACATGAACAGCAACTTGAGCAGCGGCATGATATTCGCTGATGGCAGGATGAGATGTATACGGAGGGGGCTTTCCATCCCATCCAATCTCCACCCTAACCCTATCCCATCCCATCCCCATCCATCCCCATTCCATCCCCATCCATCCTAATCCCATCCCCATCCTCATCCCCATCCTAACCCCATCCCCAACCATTCCCATCCCATCCCATGCTAACCCCAGCCCCAGCCCTGGGCTGATGGTTCCACTGCAGCCCCCCCCCAGTCTTCTCCTCCCCGGCAGCGCTCCCGGTGCCCGTGCCCGGCCCCCCCGGCGCTGACAGCCTCCGGCTCTCGTGTCCCCTGAACCGCTTCAGCCCCGCCGGCTCCCGGACCCCTCCCGTGACGCCGGAGCTGAGCAGCAGCAGCATGAGGCTGTCGGACCTGCGGCCCCCCCCGCACCCCTTCCCACCGGCAGCGGCCCCGGCCCCGGCCCCGGCGGCGCCCCCGGCAGCACCGCAAGCACCGGGGTTGGAGCTGCCGGGGCCGGCGGTGGCTCAGGACTCTCCGCCGGTCTCGGGTTCACCAGGTGAGCGGGGGGGACCCAGCGGGGAGCTCGGGGCCGCGGTGGCGCTGCCGATGCGCGGGGCTGACTCCGTCCGCCGGGGGCCCCGCAGGGAGCCGGCAGCGGCCCTGGGAGCCGCTGGTGGGGGAGATCGCGTTCCAGCTCGACCGCCGCATCCTCGCCAGCGTCTTCCCCGACCACGCGCGGCTCTACGGCTTCACCGTCGCCGCCATCCCCGAGAGGATCATGACGGTACCGAGCCCTGCGGCCCCCCCCGGCACCGCCAGCCCGGCGGGGACCCGCGGCGCTCACCCGGCGCTCTCCCCCCCCAACCCCCGCAGACGGCGCTGAACGCGGTCCCGGGCAGCTTCGACGAGCGGGGCTGCCTGGAGGCCGTGCGGCGCTACCTGGGCGTGATGCGGCGGCTGCAGGCGCTGGGCTACAGCCCCTCGGTGCACCCCGCCTTCAGCGAGGCGCTGGTGAACGCCTTCGGCGTCCTGGCGGGGCCCAGCAGCCCCGACCCCCGGCACAGCCCGGCCTTCCTGCGCCGCGTCCTGGCCGAGACGGTGCCGCGGGCGGCGCTGCGGGACGCGATGGTGCTGCTGGAGTGCCTGGAGGCGCTGGCGCGGGAGGACGGGCACCCGCTCTTCTTCTGGTGAGCGCGGGCACCGGCACCGGGCAATAAACCTGAGCCAGAGCAACAACGGCGTCTGCGGCGGCGCTGGGGGCACGCGGGGTTACAGGCAGCGGTGCTGGGCGCAGGCAGGGTTACAGGCAGCGGTGCTGGGTGCAGGCAGGGTGCTGGGTGCAGGCAGGGTTACAGACACCGGTGCTGGGTGCAGGCAGGGTTACAGGCAGCGGTGCTGGGTGCAGGCAGGGTGCTGGGTGCAGGCAGGGTTACAGACACCGGTGCTGGGTGCAGGCAGGGTTACAGGCAGCGGTGCTGGGTGCCGGCAGGGTTACAGGCAGCGGTGCTGGGTGCAGGCAGGGTTACAGGCAGCGGTGCTGGGCGCAGGCAGGGTTCCAGGCAGCGGTGCTGGGTGCAGGCAGGGTTACAGGCAGCGGTGCTGGGTGCAGGCAGGGTTACAGGCAGCAGTGCTGGGTGCAGGCAGGGTGCTGGGTGCAGGCAGGGTTACAGGCAGCGGTGCTGGGCGCAGGCAGGGTTACAGGCAGCGGTGCTGGGTGCAGGCAGGGTTACAGGCAGCGGTGCTGGGTGCAGGCAGGGTTACAGGCAGCGGTGCTGGGTGCAGGCAGGGTGCTGGGTGCAGGCAGGGTTCCAGGCAGCGGTGCTGGGTGCAGGCAGGGTGACAGGCAGCGGTGCTGGGTGCAGGCAGGGTGCTGGGTGCAGGCAGGGTTCCAGGCAGCGGTGCTGGGTGCCAGCAGGGTGCTGGGTGCAGGCAGGGTGACAGGCAGCGGTGCTGGGTGCAGGCAGGGTGACAGGCAGTGGTGCTGGGTGCAGGCAGGGTGACAGGCAGCGGTGCTGGGTGCAGGCAGGGTCACAGGCAGCGGTGCTGGGTGCAGGCAGCGGTGCTGGGTGCAGGCAGGGTTACAGGCAGCGGTGCTGGGTGCAGGCAGGGTGCTGGGCGCAGGCAGGGTAAGGGCAGCAGTGCTGGGTGCAGGCAGGGTGACAGGCAGCGGTGCTGGGTGCAGGCAGGGTCACAGGCAGCGGTGCTGGGCGCAGGCAGGGTTACAGGCAGCGGTGCTGGGTGCAGGCAGGGTTACAGACACCGGTGCTGGGTGCAGGCAGGGTTCCAGGCAGCGGTGCTGGGTGCAGGCAGGGTTCCAGGCAGCGGTGCTGGGCGCAGGCAGGGTTACAGGCAGCGGTGCTGGGCGCAGGCAGGGTTACAGGCAGCGCTGCTGGGTGCAGGCAGGGTTCCAGGCAGCGGTGCTGGGCGCAGGCAGGTTTACAGACACCGGTGCTGGGCGCAGGCAGGGTTACAGACGCCGGTGCTGGGTGCAGGCAGGGTTACAGACACCGGTGCTGGGTGCAGGCAGGGTTACAGGCAGCGGTGCTGGGCGCAGGCAGGGTTACAGACACCGGTGCTGGGTGCAGGCAGGGTTACAGGCAGCGGTGCTGGGTGCAGGCAGGGTTACAGGCAGCGGTGCTGGGTGCAGGCAGGGTTACAGACACCGGTGCAGGGAGGGGGGGGTCACCCCGCGGTCAAGGCCGTGGCTCCTTTCCCTGTTCCCTTTGGCAGCCGCCGCCGCTCGGATGCGGAAGCGGGAGCCTGGAACCGGCCCCGGGAGCACGGGAGGGAGGGGGCAGCCCCGCGGAGGGGCGCACGGACACCCCTGGTCCTGACGTGAGCCCGGGAGCGGCCGGGCCGGTGCTGGGCGCAGGTTTCTGGGGTGCTCAGCCCCGCCTCAGCCCCGGCTCCGCGCTGCCCGGGGCAGGAAGGGGAAAGGCAGCGCGGAGTCAGCCGGCGCCGACGGGAAAGGAGCGGACACGCGGGGCCGGGCCGAGCGCAGCCGGAGCTCATCGAGAAGCAGCCAGGTAGGGGACAGCACCAGCACCCAGCACCCTGCACCCTGCACCCAGCACCCTGCATCCTGCACTCAGCACCCAGCACCCTGCACCCAGCACCCTGCATCCTGCACTCAGCACCCAGCACCAGCACCCAGCACCCTGCACCCTGCACCCAGCACCCTGCACCCTGCACTCAGCACCCAGCACCCTGCACCCAACACCCTGCGCCCAGCACCCTGCACCCAACACCCTGCACCCTGCACACAGCACCCAGCACCCTGTACCCAGCACCCTGCGCCCTGCACACAGCACCCTGCACCCTGCACACAGCACCCTGCGCCCAGCACCCTGCACCCAGCACCCTGCACTCAGCACCCAGCACTCAGCACCCTGCACCCAACACCCTGCACCCTGCACCCAGCACCCTGCACCCAACACCCTGCACCCAGCACCCTGTACCCAGCACCCTGCATACAGCACCCTGCATACAGCACCCAGCACCCTGCACCCAACACCCTGCACCCAGCACCCAGCACCCTGCACCCAGCACCCTGCGCCCAGCACCCTGCACACAGCACCCTGCACACAGCACCCTGCACCCTGCATACAGCACCCAGCACCCTGCACCCAACACCCTGCACTCAGCACTCAGCACCTAGCACTCAGCACCCTGCACCCTGCATACAGCACCCAGCACCCTGCGCCCAGCACTCAGCGCCCAGCACTCAGCACCCAGCACCCGTCACCCTGCACCCGTCACCACCCCCCCGGGCACCGGCACAGCCAGGACGCGGCAGACAAGGGGTTACAGCGCCGGTTGAACGAGCCGGGCAAGGTGCAGCACCAGCAGCTCCGGCTCCCTGCCTGTACCACTGCCAGACCTCGTCCGTACCGCTGCCCGCCCCTGCCCGCCCCTGCCCGCACCGTGCCCGCCCCTGCCCGCACCGTGCCGGCCCCTGCCCGCAGGAGGAAGAGGAGGTGCGGCGCTGGCCACGCACCGCGGCAGGAATGTCGCCAGCCCGGGCACCGGGCCCGGCCGCAGCCAGCGGATGTTTGTGACCTGCGGAGCCGCCGGTGACCGTCGGCAGCGGGGCCGGAGCCTCCCGTGTTGGTGGCTTTGGCCATGGCGCCCGGGGCCGTGGAGTGCGAAGGTGAGCGGCGGGCACCGGGAACACGGGACGTGGCGTGACCGAGGCCGGCGGCGGAGGGACTGGTGTGGGCAGGGGCTGGTGCGGGCAGGGGCTGGTGTGGGCAGGGGCTGGTGTGGGCAGGGGACTGGTATGGGCAGGGGCTGGTGCCAGCCGGGGCTGGTGTGGGCAGGGGCTGGTGCCGGCCGGGGCTGGTGCTGGCAGGGGACTGGTGCGGGCAGGGGACTGGTGAGGGCAGGGGCTGGTGCTGGCAGGGGCTGGTGCCGGCCGGGGCTGGTGCGGGCGGGGGACTGGTGTGGGCAGGGGACTGGTGTGGGCAGGGGCTGATGCGGGCAGGGGACTGGTGCGGGCAGGGGCTGGTGAGGGCAGGGGCTGGTGCGGGCAGGGGACTGGTGAGGGCAGGGGCTGGTGAGGGCAGGGGACTGGTGAGGGCAGGGGCTGGTGCGGGCAGGGGCTGGTGCGGGCAGGGGCTGGTGAGGGCAGGGGCTGGTGCGGGCAGGGGACTGGTGAGGGCAGGGGCTGGTGAGGGCAGGGGACTGGTGTGGGCAGGGGCTGATGCGGGCAGGGGACTGGTGAGGGCAGGGGCTGGTGAGGGCAGGGGACTGGTGTGGGCAGGGGCTGATGCGGGCAGGGGCTGGTGAGGGCAGGGACTGGTGAGGGCAGGGACTGGTGAGGGCAGGGACTGGTGTGGGCAGGGGCTGGTGTGGGCAGGGGCTGGTGCGGGCAGGGGCTGGTGAGGGCAGGGGCTGGTGTGGGCAGGGGCTGGTGAGGGCAGGGACTGGTGAGGGCAGGGACTGGTGTGGGCAGGGGCTGGTGTGGGCAGGGGCTGGTGTGGGCAGGGGCTGGTGCGGGCAGGGGCTGGTGAGGGCAGGGGCTGGTGTGGGCAGGGGCTGGTGAGGGCAGGGGACTGGTGTGGGCAGGGGCTGATGCGGGCAGGATCTGGTGCGGGCAGGGGACTGGTGAGGGCAGGGGACTGGTGAGGGCAGGGGCTGGTGCGGGCAGCTCGGGGCTGGTGAGGGCAGGGGACTGGTGAGGGCAGGGGCTGATGCAGGCAGGATCTGGTGCGGGCAGGGGACTGGTGAGGGCAGGGGACTGGTGCGGGCAGCTCGGGGCTGGTGAGGGCAGGGGACTGGTGAGGGCAGGGGCAGGTGAGGGCAGGGGACTGGTGAGGGCAGGGGACTGGTGTGGGCAGCTCAGGGCTGGTGCTGGCAGGGGCTGATGCGGGCAGCTCAGGGCTGCCGGGATCTCAGGGAAGGAACCAGCCCTGGGGTCGGTGCCATTCACTCCATTGCCAGCACCGAAGGCAGGGGCAGGCAGGAGCTGCCGGGCAGCACAGGACAGGCAGCAAGGTACAGGCAGTGCGGTGCAGGCAAACAGGCGGGTGCCGGGCAAACACAACACCAGGGGCCCTGGTGCTGCCCGCCCTGCCAACACTGCCGGTTCTCCTGCCTGTACCACGGGAAATGCCACTTCCTGCTACTGCCCCCACCATAAGGCAATAGGGCAATGCTGCTTCCGGCTGCTGCCCGCACTGTGGGGCAATGGGACAATGCTGCTTCCGGCTGCTGCCCGCACTGTGGGCATATAGGGCAATGCTGCTTCCAGCTGCTGCCTGCACTGTGGGCATATAGGGCAATGCTGCTTCCAGCTGCTGCCCGCACTGTGGGCATATAGGGCAATGCTGCTTCCGGCTGCTGCCCATGCTGTGGGCATATAGGGCAATGCTGCTTCCGGCTGCTGCCCACACTGTGGGGCACTGGGGCAATGCTGCTTCCGGCTGCTGCCCGCACTGTGGGCATATAGGGCAATGCTGCTTCCGGCTGCTGCCCGCACTGTGGGCATATAGGGCAATGCTGCTTCCAGCTGCTGCCTGCACTGTGGGCATATAGGGCAATGCTGCTTCCGGCTGCTGCCCGCACTGTGGGGCATATAGGGCAATGCTACTTCCGGCTGCTGCCCACACTGTGGGCATATAGGGCAATGCTGCTTCCGGCTGCTGCCCGCACTGTGGGCATATAGGGCAATGCTGCTTCCGGCTGCTGCCCACACTGTGGGCATATAGGGCAATGCTGCTTCCAGCTGCTGCCCGCACTGTGGGCATATAGGGCAATGCTGCTTCCGGCTGCTGCCCACGCTGTGGGCATATAGGGCAATGCTGCTTCCGGCTGCTGCCCGCACTGTGGGGCAATGGGGCAATGCTGCTTCCGGCTGCTGCCCACGCTGTGGGCATATAGGGCAATGCTGCTTCCGGCTGCTGCCCGCACTGTGGGGCAATGGGGCAATGCTGCTTCCGGCTGCTGCCCGCACTGTGGGCATATAGGGCAATGCTGCTTCCTGCTGCTTCCTGCACTGTGGGGCAATGGGGCAATGCTGCTTCCTGCTGCTTCCTGCACTGTGGGGCAATGGGGCAATGCTGCTTCCTGCTGCTTCCTGCACCGTGGGGCAATGGGGCAGTGCTGCTTCCTGCACTGTGGTGCAATGGGGCAATGCCTCTTCCTGCTGCTTCCTGCACCGTGGGGCAATGGGTCAATGCTGGTTCTGCTGCCCACACTGTGGGCAATGGGTCAATGCCTCTTCCCAGTGCTGCCTGCACCGTGGGGCAATGGGTCAATGCTGGTTCTGCTGCCTGCACCGTGGGGCAATGGGGCAATGGTGTTTCTGCTGCCTGCACTGTGGGGCAATGGGTCAATGCCTCTTCCCAGTGCTGCCTGCACCGTGGGGCAATGGGTCAATGCTGGTTCTGCTGCCTGCACCGTGGGGCAATGGGTCAATGGTGGTTCTGCTGCCCGCACTGTGGGGCAATGGGGCAATGCTGCTTCCGGCTGCTGCCCGCACTGTGGGGCAATGGGTCAATGCTGGTTCTGCTGCCTGCACAATGCCCACATCAGTCCTGTGAGACCAACGACTGCTGCCTGCTTCTCCCTGTTCCCTGCTCCCTGTTCCTGCTCCCGCTCCGTGTTCGGCCCCACCGGCTCCGCTGTGGCTGCCTGTCCATGGCTCACGGTGACCCCGGCACCGCGGGGGCCGCTCCCCACACACTCACACTCCCGTGACAGTGATTGACCTTCCCGCGGGATGTGGGAGCCGCTGGGAAGTGCCGGGCCCTGGGCTGAGTCATTCGGAGCTGCGCCAGCGCCGTGGGGCAGGAACCATGGGGCAGGAACTGTGCCAGAGCTGTGCCAGAACCGTGCTGGGGCCGTGCCAGAGCTGTGCCAGGGCCGTGCTGGGGTCAGTGAGGTGGGAACCAGCCCCATGGCGGTGCCCTGGCCCCATGGCAGCGCCCTGGCCCCATGGCAGCAGCAGGGATGGAGCCAAGGTTGGTGCCAGGCCGGGGACACCACCAGCCAACACAGCCCTGAGCGGCTGCGTGTACCGGGAGCTGGGATGGGTTGGAGCAGCCCCAGCGCTCCCAGTGGCCCCAGCATCCCCAGTGCCCAGCAGCATCCCACACTGGCAGTGGGCGCAGGAGGGCAGGACTCAGACGGGACTCAGGCTGGAGCAGGACTCGGGACTTGGGCAGGGCCCAGGACGTGGGCAGGGCTCTGGCAGGGTCAGGTTAGACTTGGGCAGGACAGACAGGACTCAAGCTTAGGCAAGACCCAGGCTCAGTCAGTACTCAGGTAGGGTCAGGTCAGACTCAGGCAGGACTCAGGCAGGGCTCAAGCTTAGGTAAGACCCAGGCTCAGTCAGTACTCAGGTAGGGTCAGGTCAGATGTGGGCAGGACTCAGGCTGGAGCAGGGCTGTGGCTCAGGCAGGACTCGGGCAGGACTTGGGCAGGACCCAGGCTCTGGTTAGACTTGGGCTTGGGCAGGACTCTGGCAGGACCCGGGCTCAGGCAGAACCCGGGCTCAGGCAGGACTTGGGCAGGGCTTGATCTGAACCTAGGCTCAGGCAGGACTTGGGCTCAGGCAGGGCTTGGGCTCAGACAGGGCTCAGACAAGACCCGGTCAGGCTCGGTCAGGCTCGCTCAGGGCTCGCTCAGGGCTCACTCAGACCCGGTCAGGCTCAGTCAGGGCTCGCTCAGAGCTCGCTCAGACCCGGTCAGGCTCAGTCAGGCTCAGTCAGGGCTCGCTCAGGGCTCGCTCAGACCCGGTCAGGCTCGCTCAGACCCGGCCAGGCTCAGTCAGGGCTCGCTCAGACCCAGTCAGGCTCGCTCAGGGCTCGCTCAGGTCTCACTCAGACCCGGTCAGGCTCAGTCAGGCTCAGTCAGGCTCGCTCAGGGCTCGCTCAGGGCTCGCTCAGACCCGGTCAGGCTCAGTCAGGGCTCGCTCAGGGCTCGCTCAGACCCGGTCAGGCTCGCTCAGGGCTCGCTCAGGGCTCGCTCAGACCCGGTCAGGCTCAGTCAGGGCTCGCTCAGGGCTCACTCAGACCCGGTCAGGCTCAGTCAGGGCTCGCTCAGGGCTCGCTCAGACCCGGTCAGGCTCGCTCAGGGCTCGCTCAGGGCTCGCTCAGACCCGGTCAGGCTCAGTCAGGCTCAGTCAGGGCTCGCTCAGGGCTCGCTCAGGTCTCACTCAGGCTCCGTCAGGCTCAGTCAGGCTCGCTCAGGGCTCGCTCAGACCCGGTCAGGCTCATTCAGGCTCGCTCAGGTCTCACTCAGACCCGGTCAGGCTCATTCAGGCTCAGTCAGGCTCGCTCAGGGCTCGCTCAGGGCTCGCTCAGACCCGGTCAGACCCGATCAGGCTCGCTCAGGGCTCCCTGGCGCAGCCGGCGGTGCCGGGGCAGACGCGGTGGTTTCGCCCGTGGCGCCGGGTCCTGCCCCCCGCAGGTACCGGGAACCCGTCGGGCCGGTCCCGGCGCCGCCGCGGCTCAGCCCCTTCCCGGCTCCCGCGGCCGGACGGAGGCTCCCGGGCGCGGGCGAGCGGCGCTGCCGGGGGTGCCGCCGGTGCCGGGGTCTCCGTGGGTGCCGGTGCTCGGGCTCCGGTTGCTCCGCGGCCCCCGGCCCGCTCCGGTGCTTCCGTCGGCCCCGGAGCCGCGCGGGGCGCTCACGGGGGACGCGGCCGCTCGGTCCCAACGCGGCTCCGTGTCCCGCAGGTGTCAGCGGCTGCGGCGGGGACCCCGCGCTGAGCGCGCCCCCGGGGATGCCGCTGCCGCAGGCCCCGTTCCGCAGCCCCGCGCTGGCGGCTCTGGACGCCGTGGCTCGGGCGCTGCTGGCTCCCGGCTCCTGGGCCCTCAACCGGCTCCTGGACCTGCGGCCCACGACGGCGGAGCGGCGGCGGCGGCCGTGCGCTTGGTGCCGCGGTTGCGCGGCTCGGGCGCTGGCGGGGCCGGTGCTCGCGGTGCTGCTGCTGCTCTCGCTGCCGCTCACGGCGCTGGGGCTGCTGCTGTGGCTGCCGCTGCAGGCGGCGCGGAGCCCCTTCCTTTACCAGCACACGGCAGCGGCGCCGCCGGCCGAGCCCTGGGACCTGCGGCAGCCCCGGACCTTCACCTTCGTCAGCGCCAACCTCTGCCTCCTGCCCAGCGGCTTGGCCAAGTTCAGCAACCTGGGGCAGACCCCGCAGCGGGCGGCGGACATCGCCCGGCGCCTCGTCCCGGCCCCGCCGGACCCCGGCAGCGACCGCGCGGGCCTGGTGCAGCCGCGGCACCGCGGAGCCAACGGCTACGGAGGGACCCTGAGCACCGAGCGCGGCGTGGCCCTGGAGATGCCCGAGGTGGAGGCGCCGGTGACGGAGCCGGAGCCGCCGGTGACGGAGCCGGAGCCGCCGCTGTCCGAGCGCTTCCCGCCGGCCGCCGACGTCCTTTGCCTGCAGGAGGTGTTCGACGGCGCGGCCGCCGCGTGTCTCCGCCGCCGGCTCGGCCGCGTGTTCCCGCACGTTATCTCGGAGGTGGGCACGGGGGGGCTGCGCCGCGGGCGCCTGCGGCTGCTCGGCAGCGGCTTGTTCCTCGCCAGCCGCTTCCCGGTGCTGGCCGCCGCCTTCCGCAGCTTCCCCAACGGCGCCCGGGAGGACGCGATGGCCGACAAGGGGCTGCTCATGGTCCAGGTGAGCGCGGGTCCCGCCGGGCCCCGCCGCGGCGCCGGGGCCCCGCTGAGGCCGCTGTCGCCCCGCAGGTGCAGCTGGGCTCGGCGCGGCACCGCCGCATCGTGGGCTACGTGGGCTGCACGCACCTGCAGGCGCCGGCCGGTGAGCGGCGGGCGGCGGGGACGGGGCGGGCCGGGGGGCGGCAGCGCAGCGCTTCCATGGGCCCCGTGTGCCGCAGGGGACGGCGCCGTCCGGGACGCGCAGCTGACGCTGGCGCTGCGCTGGCTGCAGCGGTTCCAGCAGGAGCAGGAGCGCAGCGGGGACCTGGTGGCCTTCGACGTCCTCTGCGGGGACCTCAACTTCGACAACTGCTCCCGCGGTGGGGACACGGGGGGCGACGGACGGGGGGGACCTGGGGACATGGGGACGTGGGGATGGGGGATAGGGGGATAGGGGATAGGGGACAGGGGAGGTGGGGATAGGGGACAGGGGACAGGGGAATAGGGGACAGGGGAATAGGGGACATGTGTATAGGGGAGGTTGGGATAGGGGAGGTGGGGATGGGGGAGGTGGGGATAGGGGACAGGGGGATAGGGGATACGGGAATTGGGGATAGGGGAGGTGGGGATAGGGGATAGGGGACATGGGGATAGGGGAGGTGGGGATAGGGGATAGGGGACATGGGGAGAGGGGAGGTGGGGATAGGGGACAGGGGACATGGGGACATAGAGACATGGGGATAGGGGACATAGGGACATGGGGATAGGGGATATGGGGGCATAGGGACATGGGGATAGGGGACATGGGGACTGAGGGACATGGGGATAGGGGATATGGGGACATAGGGACATGGGGATAGGGGATATCGGGACATGGGGATAGGGGACATGGGGACTGAGGGACATGGGGATAGGGGACATGGGGATAGGGGATATAGGGACATGGGGATAGGGGACATGGGGACTGAGGGACATGGGGATAGGGGACATAGGGACATGGGGATAGGGGACATGGGGACTGAGGGACATGGGGATAGGGGACATAGGGACATGCGGATAGGGGACATAGGGACATGGGGATAGGGGACATGGGGACTGAGGGACATGGGGATAGGGGATATGGGGACATAGGGACATGGGGATAGGGGACATGGGGACTGAGGGACCTGAGGGCACAGGGAGCACGCGTTGTCCATGGGGTGACCCCCTCTGCGTCCCTGCCCGCAGGTGACCAGCTCAACCAGCGGCACCAGCTCTTCGAGCTCTACCGGGACCCGTGTCGCCAGGGACCGGGGCAGGATGAGCCCTGGGCCATAGGTGGGACTGGGCACCCCTTGTCACCCACCAGGGACACAGCGTGGCCTGGCCCGGGCACCGTCCCTGTCCTCATCGCCACTTGTCCCAACCCCTGTGTCCACCTCCCCCTATGTCCTTATGTGCCCCATCTCCCCCATATCCTTATGTGCCCCATAGCCCCCCATATCCTTATGTGCCCCATCTCCCCCATATCCTTATGTGCCCCATCTCCCCCCATATCCTTATGTGCCCCATCTCCCCCCATATCCTTATGTGCCCCATCTCCCCCCATATCCTTATGTGCCCCATCTCCCCCCATATCCTTATGTGCCCCATCTCCCCCATGTCCTTATGTGCCCCATCTCCCCCATGTCCTTATGTGCCCCATCTCCCCCATATCCTTATCTGCCCCATCTCCCCTGTTCCCAGGCACTCTCCTCAACTACCTGGAGATCTATGAGGAGCCCGTGTCCACCCCGGAGAAGATGAAGAGGTGATGGGGAGGGGACATGGGGAAAGGCCATCAAAGCCCTGGGGGGGGGGCCCATCCCTGTGCCACGAGGTCCCTGTGCCACCCCATCCCTGTGCCTCCATGTCCCCAAGTCCCCACGTCCCCATTCCACTTCCCCCTTGTTCCTATCCCATGGCACCCCTGTCCTGCCGCATTCCCCATCCCAAATCCCCCATCCCCATGTGTCTTCATGCCGGAGTGTCCCGGTGCCCTGGTGTCACCGTGGTGCCCTGGTGTCACCGTGGTGCCCTGCTGCCCTTCCCTCACTTTGTGCTGTCCCCATCCCGTGCTGACCGGGTGCCACAGTGCCCCCATCCCTCGCTGCCCCCATCCCGCAGTGCCCCCATCCCGCGCTGCCCCCATCCCACTCTGCCCCCATCCCGCGCTGCCCCCATCCCACTCTGCCCCCATCCCACTCTGCCCCCATCCCGCACTGTCCCCATCCCACTCTGCCCCCATCCCACTCTGCCCCCATCCCACTCTGCCCCCATCCCGCAGTGCCCCCGTCCCACGCTGCCCCCATCCCGCGCTGCCCCCATCCCACTCTGCCCCCATCCCACTCTGCCCCCATCCCACGCTGCCCCCATCCCGCGCTGCCCCCATCCCACTCTGCCCCCATGCCGGTGTGCCCCCTTGCCTCGCTGCCCCCATCCCGCGCTGCCCCCATCCCACTCTGCCCCCATCCCACGCTGCCCCCATCCCGCAGTGCCCCCATCCCACTCTGCCCCCATCCCGCAGTGCCCCCGTCCCACGCTGCCCCCATCCCGCACTGCCCCCATCCCACTCTGCCCCCATCCCGCGCTGCCCCCATCCCGCGCTGCCCCCATCCCACGCTGCCCCCATCCCACGCTGCCCCCATCCCACAGTGCCCCCATCCCACGCTGCCCCCATCCCACGCTGCCCCCATCCCGCGCTGCCCCCATCCCACTCTGCCCCCATCCCACGCTGCCCCCATCCCACTCTGCCCCCATCCCACGCTGCCCCCATCCCTCGCTGCCCCCCTCCCTCCCTGTCCCCCCCCCGTGCCCCCGTCACTGCCCTCCCGTGTCCCCCCAGGACCCTCTCCTCTCCCGGTGGCCGCTGCCGGTTCCTGGCGGGCCCCATCCTGGCCTCGGGGCTCCCGGACGCCTCCTTCCCCGCCCCGTGCCGGGGCCGCCGCTTGGATTACGCCGTGTTCCGGCCGCGGCCGCCGCTGCGCACGGTGAGAGCTGCAATGGGGGGGGAACCCGAGACCCCTGAGCCCCCCCTGACCCCCCTTGACCCCCCTGACCCACCCTGACCCCCCCGAGCCCCCCTTGACCCCCCTGAGACCCCCTGACCCCCCCTTGACCCCCCTGACCCACCCTGACCCGCCCTGATCCCCCCTGAGCCCCCCGACCCCCCCTGACCCCCCCTGAGCCCCCACTGACCCCCCCTGAACTCCCCTGACCCCCCCTGAACCCCCCTGAGCCCCCCCTGACCCCCCGTGACCCCCCTGAGCCCCCCCCGACCCCCTTGACCCCCCTGAGCCCCACTGAGCCCCCCCTGACCCCCCCGACCCCCCCTGACCCCCCTGACCCCTCCTGAGCCTCCCTGACCCGCCCTGACCCCCCCTGAGCCCCCCGACCCCCCCTGACCCCCCCTGAGCCCCCCTTAGCCCCCTGAGCCCCCCTGAAGCCCCCGACCCCCCTGAGCCCCCCCTGACCCCCCCTGACCCCCCGTGACCCCCCTGAGCCCCCCTGACCCCCCCTGACCCCCCGTGACCCCCCTGAGCCCCCCCCGACCCCCTTGACCCCCCTGAGCCCCCCTGAGCCCCCCCTGACCCCCCCGACCCCCCCTGACCCCCCCTGAGCCCCCCTTAGCCCCCTGAGCCCCCCTGAAGCCCCCGACCCCCCTGAGCCCCCCCTGACCCCCCCTGACACCCCGTGACCCCCCTGAGCCCCCCTGACCCCCCCTGACCTCCCCGTGACCCCCCTGACCCCCCCCGACCCCCTGTCCCCTGTCCCCAGGACGTCGCCGCCGTCTCCTTCATCACCCGCTTGGCCACGTGCTCCGATCACCTGCCCGTGGCCCTCAGCCTGCACGTGGGCCCCGGCGCGCCCTGACACCAACACCGGCACCGGGACACCGGGGCACAGCAACACCGGCACTGGGACACAGCGACACAACACCACCAGCACCGGGACACCGGGGCACTGGGACACAGCAACACCAGCACCGGGACACCGGGGCACTGGGACACAGCAACACCAGCACTCCAGTACCGGGACACTGGGACACCGGGACACCAGCACCAGCACACAGCGACACCGGGACACAGCAACACCGGGACACTGGGACACAGCGACACCAGCACTGGGACACCGGGACACCGGGACATGGGGATACCAGGACACCGGGGCAAGGGGTGACTGGGACACGGTGCTGGTGTCAATGTGCCACTGATCCAGCACTGATCCAGCACGGATCCCACACTGATCTGGCACCATCATGGCACTGATCTGGTGCTGATCCGGCAGTGATCTAACACTGATCCAGCACTGATCCGGCACCATCGTGGCACTGATCTGGTGCTGATCCGGCACGAATCCAGCATGGATCCGACACTGATCCGGCACCATCGTGGCACTGATCTGGCGCTGATCCGGCACTGATCTAACACTGATCTGGCACCATCGTGGCACTGATCTGGTGCTGATCCGGCAGTGATCTAACACTGATCCAGCACTGATCCGGCACCATCGTGGCACTGATCTGGCGCTGATCTGGCACGAATCCAGCATGGATCCGGCACTGATCCGGCACCATTGTGGCACTGATCCAGCATGGATCCAGCACGAATCCAGCATGGATCCGGCACTGATCCAGCACCATCGTGGCACTGATCCGGCACAGATCCAGCACGAATCCAGCATGGATCCGGCACTGATCCGGCACCATCGTGGCACTGATCCGGCATGGATCCAGCAGTGATCTAACACTGATCCAGCACGGATCCAGCAGTGATCCACCAGCAATACTGGTTCAGTATTGATCCAGTGTTGATCTGGGACCGCTCCAGCTCTGACCCAGCATGGACCCAGCAGTGATGGGGCATTGGTCTGGTACCGACTCAGCTCTGAGCCAGCACCAGTATGGCACCGATCCAGCACTGAGCTGGGACCAGTTCAGCATTGATCCAGCACTGAGCTGGTAATGGTCTGACATTGATCCTACATTGATCTGGTATTGATGGGGCATTGATCCAGCAGCAATCCAGCATTGACCTGGGACCAAGCCAGCATTGATTTGACATTGACCCAGCACCAATCTGACACTGATCCTGCATCGATCCAGCAGTGATCTGCCACCGATATCACACTGATCTGGCATTGATCCGGTATTGATGGGGCATTGATCTGGGACCAATCTGGCATTGATCCAGCATTGATCCGGCATTGATCTGGTATTGATGGGGCATTGATTTGACATTGATCTGGGACCAATCTGTCACTGATCCAGCATTGATCCCACATTGATCCGGCATTGATGGGGTATTGATGGGGCATTGATCTGGCACCAACCTGGCATTGGTCCGGAATGGGGCAGTGATGAGACATTGATCCGGCATTGACCTGGCTCCAGTCAGTTTTATCATAAAGGCCCAAGCACTGCCCCAGCCCCACAGCACTTGGGGGGCTGCCCCCCCCCCCCCCCCATCACACACAAGGCCACGGGCAGGTCTGAATCCTTTATTAGAAGGCACCAAGCTGGGATCAATGGGGCAGATGGAGACCCACACTTGTGGGGCTCAGCCCCCACATTTGCGGGGTGCTGGGTGGGGGTCCCCATGTGCTTCAAGGCAGAAGCGCTGAAGCCCACGGGCAGAGCTATGGGGCAGAGGCTGCCCCATAGCAGTACCCTGAGCTCTGCCCCATGAGGTGACCCTCGGTCCCCTCTGCTTTGGGGAGTGCATAGCTGGAGTTGGGGAACTGCCCCATAGCGGGTGAAGGGAGCTGGGGTCTGCCCCATGGAGTGTGCATAGCTACGATCAAGGGGATGCTGCTTGGGGGCTGCCCTATTGACTGTGCCTATCTAGGGTTGGGGGCTGCCCCACAGGGAGTGTGCGCAGTGAGGGGAGCTGCCCTATGGGGCGTGCATTGGGGTTGGGGTCTGCCACATGAATTGTGCATATCTAGGGTTGGGGGGCTGCCCCATAGAGTGTGTGTAGTGAGGGGAGCTGCCCTATGGGGTGTGTGTGAAGGGAGCTCGGGGAATGCCCCATGGATTGTGCATAGCTAAGATCAAGGGGGTGCTACTTGGGGTTAGGGGCTGCCCTATAGACTTGTGCGTATCTAGGGTTGGGGGGCTGCCCCATGGGATATATGCATTTGGGGTTGGGGGATTGCCCTATGGGCTGTGCATACCTTGGGGGGGCTGCCCCATGGGGTGTGTGCCTCTGGGGTTGGGGGCTGCCCATTGAGTGTGCTGTGTGCCGTGGGGCAGCCCATGGGGTGTGCTGTGGGGCGGCCCATGGGGTGTGCTGTGTGACGTGGGGCAGCCCATGGGGTGTGCTGTGTGCCGTGGGGCAGCCCCATGGCCGCAGCTGTGGGGCAGCCCATGGGGTGCGCTGTGTGCCGTGGGGCAGCCCCATGGCCGCAGTTGTGGGGCAGCCCATGGGGTGCGCTGTGTGCCGTGGGGCAGCCCCATGGCCGCAGTTGTGGGGCAGCCCATGGGGTGCGCTGTGTGCCGTGGGGCAGCCCCATGGCCGCAGTTGTGGGGCAGCCCATGGGGTGCGCTGTGTGCCGTGGGGCAGCCCCATGGCCGCAGCTGTGGGGCAGCCCATGGGGTGCGCTGTGTGCCGTGGGGCAGCCCCATGGCCGCAGTTGTGGGGCAGCCCATGGGGTGCGCTGTGTGCCGTGGGGCAGCCCCATGGCCGCAGTTGTGGGGCAGCCCCTCAGACGCTCTCCTGCGCCCGCCGGTACTCGAAGACGCTCCCGCGCTCGGTGAAGCTGGGGGGGGGCGGTGGCACCGGGCCCCCCCCCCGGGCTCTGTCCCCGGCCCCATCCTCAGCCCCAGCCCCATCCCCGGCCCCGGGCCCGTCCTCGGGGGCTCCGAAGCCGCCGCCACCGGGGGTCAGGAGGCGGAAAACGTCCTATGGGGGGAGCGGGGGTCAGGGGGGAAAGGGGGGGAATGGGGGGGGATCTGGGGGGGGGTTGGGGGTCTATGGGGCATCCGTGGGTCTCTATGGGTTACTGGGTCTCTATGGGGGCTGTAGGTGATGTATGGGGGGTCCCCGCACTCACCCCCGGCTCCACCGACACGGAGCTCTTGCCCCCCAGGTTGAGGGTTCTCCCGTCGCGGCGCAGCAGCAGGTTCAGGCCTGGGGCACCGGGGCTGCCCCCTAAGGGAGAGATGGGGGTCAGGGGGGTCGGGGGGTTATGGGGAGTCATGGGGGTTCACAGGGTGCCATTGCTGCCCCCATGGGTCCCTGCTGCTCCATGGGTGCCATTGCTGCCCTCATGGGTCCCTACTGCTCCATGGGTGCCATTGCTGCCCCCATGGGTCCCTGCTGCTCCATGGGTGCCATTGCTGCCCCCATTGTTCCGTGCTGCTCCATGGGTGCCATTGCTGCCCCCATGGGTCCCTACTGCTCCATGGGTGCCATTGCTGCCCCCATTGTTCTGTGCTGCTCCATGGGTGCCATTGCTGCCCCCATTGTTCCGTGCTGCTCCATGGGTGCCATTGCTGCCCCCATGGGTCCCTGCTGCTCCATGGGTGCCATTGCTGCCCCCATGGGTCCGTACTGCTCCATGGGTGCCATTGCTGCCCCCATGGGTCCCTGCTGCTCCGTGGGTGCCCCCGTTGCCCCCCAGCCCCGCGCCCCCCCGAGCTCTCACCGCGGAGCCCGTAGGGCCTCAGCACCCTCCTCTCGCTCAGCACCGCCAGCTCCAGCGGCTCCCGGAACAGCAGCTCCCGGACCAGGCCGTCCCCGCCGCGCCAGCGCCCGGCGCCTCCCGAGCCCGCCCGCAGCCCGAAGCGCTGCAGCACCACCGGGTACCTGCGGGCGGCACCGGAGCTCCAGTGCTCAGCAGCGCCCCCCAGCGCCCACAGCGCCCCCTGCACCCCGGTACCTGCGGGCGGCACCAGAGCTCCGGTGCTCAACAGCGCCCCCCAGCGCCCACAGCGCCCCCTGCACCCCGGTACCTGCGGGCGGCACCAGAGCTCCGGTGCTCAACAGCGCCCCCAAGCGCCCCCTGCACCCCGGTACCTGCGGGCAGCACCGGAGCTCCAGTGCTCAGCAGCGCCCCCTGCACCCGGTACCTGCGGGCAGCACCGGAGCTCCGGTGCTCAACAGCGCCCCCTGCACCCCGGTACTTGCAGGCAGCACCGGAGCTCCAGTGCTCAACAGCGCCCCCTGCACCTGCGGGGCAGCACCGGAGCTCCGGTGCTCAACAGCGCCCCCCAGCGCCCCCCAGCGCCGCCTGCACCCTGGTACCTGCGGGCGGCACCGCAGCTCCAGTGCTCAGCAGCGCCCCCCAGCGCCCCCCAGCGCCCCCTGCACCCCGGTACCTGCGGGCGGCACCGGAGCTCCGGTGCTCCACAGCGCCCCCCAGCGCCCACAGCGCCCCCTGCACCTGCGGGCGGCACCGGAGCTCCAGTGCTCAACAGCGCCCCCCAGCACCCCGGTACCTGCGGGCAGCACCGGAGCTCCGGTGCTCAACAGCGCCCCCAAGCGCCCACAGCGCCCCCTGCACCCGGTAACTGCGGGGCAGCCCCGGCAGCTCCAGTGCTCAGCAGCGCCCCCCAGCGCCCCCTGCACCCCGGTACTTGCGGGCAGCACCGGAGCTCCAGTGCTCAGCAGCGCCCCCCAGCGCCCCCCAGCGCCCCCTGCACCCCGGTACCTGCGGGCGGCACCGGAGCTCCGGTGCTCAGCAGCGCCCCCTGCACCCCGGTACCTGCGGGCGGCACCGGAGCTCCAGTGCTCAGCAGCGCCCCCCAGCGCCCCCAGCGCCCCCTGCACCCCGGTACCTGCGGGCGGCACCGGAGCTCCAGTGCTCAGCAGCGCCCCCCAGCGCCCCCTGCACCCCGGTACCTGCGGGGCAGCACCGGAGCTCCGGTGCTCAACAGCGCCCCCCAGCGCCCTCCAGCGCCGCCTGCACCCCGGTACCTGCGGGGGGCACCGGAGCTCCGGTGCTCAGCAGCGCCCCCCAGCGCCCCCTGCACCCCGGTACTTGCAGGCAGCACCGGAGCTCCAGTGCTCAGCAGCGCCCCCTGCACCCCGGTACCTGCGGGCGGCACCGGAGCTCCAGTGCTCAGCAGCGCCCCCCAGCGCCCCCCAGCGCCGCCTGCACCCCGGTACCTGCGGGCGGCACCGGAGCTCCGGTGCTCAACAGCGCCCCCTGCACCCCGGTACCTGCGGGGGGCACCGGAGCTCCGGTGCTCAGCAGCGCCCCCCAGCGCCCCCTGCACCCCGGTACTTGCAGGCAGCACCGGAGCTCCAGTGCTCAGCAGCGCCCCCTGCACCCCGGTACCTGCGGGCGGCACCGGAGCTCCAGTGCTCAGCAGCGCCCCCCAGCGCCCCCCAGCGCCGCCTGCACCCCGGTACCTGCGGGCGGCACCGGAGCTCCAGTGCTCAACAGCGGCCCCCAGCGCCCCCTGCACCCCGGTACCTGCGGGGCAGCACCGGAGCTCCAGTGCTCAGCAGCGCCCCCCAGCGCCCCCTGCACCCCGGTACCTGCGGGCGGCACCGGAGCTCCGGTGCTCAACAGCGCCCCCTGCACCCCGGTACCTGCGGGGCAGCACCGGAGCTCCAGTGCTCAGCAGCGCCCCCCAGCGCCCACAGCGCCCCCTGCACCCCGGTACCTGCGGGGCAGCACCGGAGCTCCAGTGCTCAGCAGCGCCCCCCAGCGCCCCCTGCACCTGCGGGCGGCACCGGAGCTCCAGTGCTCAGCAGCGCCCCCTGCACCCGGTACCTGCGGGCAGCACCGGTTCTCCGGTGCTCCACAGCGCCCCCAAGCGCCCACAGCGCCCCCGGTACCTGCGGGGCAGCACCGGAGCTCCAGTGCTCAGCAGCGCCCCCTGCACCCGGTACCTGCGGGCAGCCCCGGCAGCTCCAGCGCCCGCACCCCCCCCGCACCCCCGTCCCCTCCCGACCCCCGTCCCGCCGGTCCCGCACCGCTGCTCCAGGATCTCGGGGTCGGTGATGCGGGTGTTGGTCATGTGCGTGTGCACCCCGCTGCGGCCGTGCCAGCCAGGGCCCGCGCCGGCGCCGCCCGCCACCGTCTCGTAGTACCCGGAGCGGGCGGTGCCGAAGGTGACGTTGTTCATGCAGCCCTGGGGGGGCAGCGGGAGGGACCGGCACCCTGAGCCCCGGCACCCTGAGCCCGGCACCCTGAGCCCGGCACCCTGAGCCCGGCACCCTGAGCCCCAACACCCTGAGCCCGGCACCCTGAGCCCCGGCACCCTGAGCCCAGAACCCTGAGCACCAACACCCTGAGCCCCAACACCCTGAGCCCCGGCACCCTGAGCCCCGGCACCCTGAGCCCGGCACCCTGAGCCCGGCACCCTGAGCCCCAACACCCTGAGCCCCGGCACCCTGAGCCCCGGCACCCTGGGACCTCCAAGAGCTGGGATCCTCAAGACCTCTGGCACCCCCGACCCCCAGGACCTCTGGGCCCCCTGAGAGCCCCAACCCCTGGGACCCCCATTTACCCCACTCCCGCCATTGCCCCCTGCTTCCCCATTGCCTCCCACTGCCCTTAGTCCTCCAATGCCCCCATCACCCCCATTGCCCCCCCATTGCCCCATTGCCCCCCATTGCCCCCCCATCGCCCCCCATCACCCCCATTGTCATCATTGGCCCCATTCCCTCCAGTCCCTCATTGGCCCCCATTGCCCCCATTTCCTCATTGCCCCCCATTGTCCTCATTGCCCCCATTCCTTCTGGTCCCTCATTGCCCCCCATTGCCCTCATTCCCTCCTGTCCCTCATTGCCCCCCATTGCCCCCATTCTCTCATCACCCCCTATCACCCCATTGCCCCCCATTGCCCCCATTCCCTTCTGTTCCTCATTGCCCTCCATTGCCCTCATTCTCTCTGGTCCCTCATTGCCCCCTATTGCCTCCATTGCCCCCATTGCCCCCATTCCCCCATTGCCCCCCATTGCTCCCCATTGCCCCGTTCCCTCATTGCCCCCCATCGCTCCCCATTGCTCCCCATTGCCCCCATTGCCCCCCATCGCTCCCATTGCCCCCCGGTGCCCAGCCCGTACCTGGGAGGCTGCGCACACGCCGAAGGCCTTGAAGATGACGTCCACGACGCGCTGGGAGGTGAGGACGTTGCCCCCCACCACGGCGGCCTCGGGCGAGGGGTCCAGGATGGAGCCCTTGGGGATGAGCACGCGCACGGGGGCCAGGCACCCCTGGGGGGGGGGCGCAGTCAGCACCCACCGACACCCCCCTCCGGGAGACCCGCACCCAGGGGTCCCAGGGGAACAGGGGCCAGGACCCCCCAGCTCCGAGCCCCTCGTGCCCTGGGGGGGGCAGCACCCACAGCTCCTGCCTGGGCTCCTGCAGGGCGCATGGGGGCCCCGCGCACCTGGTTGAGCGGCAGCTCCTGCCCCACCATGCAGCGCAGGCAGTAGATGATGGCGGCCAGGGTGACGGCGCGCGGCGCGTTCCAGTTCCCCAGCACCTCGGGGCCCGTGCCCGAGAAGTCAAACACGGCGCTGCCCTGCGGCACAGAGCGCCCTAAGGTACACCCAAAACACCCCAAAACGCACACAGGTACACACAAAACACCCCAAAACGCACACAGGTACACCCAAAACACCCCAAAACGCACACAGGTACATCCAAAACACCCCAAAACGCACACAGGTACACACAAAGCACCCCAAAACGCACACAGGTACACCCAAAACACCCCAAAACGCACACAGGTACACCCAAAACACCCCCAAACACACACGGATGCACCCAAAGCACCCCAAAACGCACACAGGTGCACCCAAAGCACCCCAAAATACACACAGGTACACCCAAAGCACCCCAAAACACACACAGATGCACCCAAAGCACCACACAGATGCACCCAAAGCACCCCAAAACACACACAGATGCACCCAAACCACTCCAAAACACACACAGATGCACCCAAACCACCCCAAAACACACACAGATGCACCCAAACCACCCCAAAACACACACAGATGCACCCAAACCACCCCAAAACACACACAGATGCACCCAAAGCACCCCAAAACACACACAGATGCACCCAAACCACCCCAAACCCAAAACACACACAGATGCACCCAAAACACACACGGATGCACCCAAACCACACCAAAACACACACAGATGCACCCAAACCACACCAAAACACACACAGATGCACCCAAACCACACCAAAACACACACAGATGCACCCAAACCACACCAAAACACACACAGATGCACCCAAACCACCCCAAAACACACACAGATGCACCCAAAGCACCCAAAAAACACACACAGATGCACCCAAACCACCCCAAAACACACACAGATGCACCCAAACCACCCCAAAACACACACAGATGCACCCAAACCACCCCAAAACACACACAGATGCACCCAAACCACCCCAAAACACACACAGATGCACCCAAACCACACACGGATGCACCCAAACCACACACACAGATGCACCCAAACCACCCAAAACACACACAGATGCACCCAAACACACACACAGATGCACCCAAACCACTCCAACACACACAGATGCACCCAAACCACCACACACAGATGCACCCAAACCACAAAACACACACAGATGCACCCAAACCACCCCAAACACACACAGATGCACCCAAACCACCCAAAACACACACAGATGCACCCAAACCACAGATGCACCAAACACACACAGATGCACCCAAACCACTCCAAAACACACACAGATGCACCCAAACCACTCCAAAACACACACAGATGCACCCAAACCACCCCAAAACACACACACAGATGCACCCAAACCACTCCAAAACACACACAGATGCACCCAAAGCACCCCAAAACACACACAGATGCACCCAAACCACTCCAAAACACACACAGATGCACCCAAACCACACCAAAACACACACACACAGATGCACCCAAACCACCCCAAAACACACACAGATGCACCCAAACCACCCCAAAACACACACAGATGCACCCAAACCACACCAAAACACACACAGATGCACCCAAACCACTCCAAAACACACACAGATGCACCCAAACCACTCCAAAACACACACAGATGCACCCAAACCACCCAAAACACACACAGATGCACCCAAACCACCCCAAAACACACCACACCCAAAACACACACAGATGCACCCAAAGCACCCAAAACACACACAGATGCACCCAAACCACTCCAAAACACACACAGATGCACCCAAACCACTCCAAAACACACACAGATGCACCCAAAGCACCCAAAACACACACAGATGCACCCAAACCACACCAAAACACACACAGATGCACCCAAACCACTCCAAAACACACACAGATGCACCCAAACCACTCCAAAACACACACAGATGCACCCAAACCTCCACAAAACACACACAGATGCACCCAAACCTCCACAAAACACACACAGATGCACCCAAAGCACCCAAAACACACACAGATGCACCCAAACCACCCCAAAACACACACAGATGCACCCAAACCACTCCAAAACACACACAGATGCACCCAAACCACCCAAACACTCCAAACACACACAGATGCACCCAAACCCAAAACACACACAGATGCAAAACACACACAGATGCACCCAAACCACCCAAAACACACACAGATGCACCCAAACCACCCCAAAACACACACAGATGCACCCAAACCACTCCAAAACACACACAGATGCACCCAAACCACTCCAAAACACACACAGATGCACCCAAACCACCCCAAAACACACACAGATGCACCCAAACCACCCCAAAACACACACAGATGCACCCAAACCACTCCAAAACACACACAGATGCACCCAAACCTCCACAAAACACACACAGATGCACCCAAACCACTCCAAAACACACACAGATGCACCCAAACCACTCCAAAACACACACAGATGCACCCAAACCACTCCAAAACACACACAGATGCACCCAAAGCACCCCAAAACACACACAGATGCACCCAAAGCACCCAAAACACACACAGATGCACCCAAACCACCCCAAAACACACACAGATGCACCCAAACCACCCCAAAACACACACAGATGCACCCAAAGCACCCCAAAACACACACAGAT